AGAACATGAAGATAATCAAATTGTGGATTTATCTGGTCAAAATCTACCAGAAGAAAGTGCTAGTTCATATTCTGAGGCCACTATTTCAAATGATAATGTTCCCGAAAGCTCAGAGGATACTCTTCAAACAGCCATTGCAGATACATCAATTGTAAATAATCCATTTCCTGGTTGTAATTTAACTAAAGAGGTAAGGACAAATCAAAAAGGATAAATGTTTTATTTCATTTAACTTTTTTTTTTTAGAATATGTTGTCATTATAAATATATATATATATATATGACATATATACATACATACATACATTTTAAGAAATAAACTGACTTATTTTGATTTTGTATAAATTTATCTTTCATTTAAAGTGTTTTTTTTTATATATATATATTGTTACAGGATTTGGATTTAATAGATGTACTCTGGCAACAAGATGTTGATCTTGGTGTTGGTAAAGAGGTGTTTGACTTATTTCTGAGGCAGGAAATTGAAACTAAAAAGGAGCAAGAATTACTCAAGCATCAAGAATGGGTATGTCTTAAGGATATTTTCTGATAGTCTTTTAGCACAAGAAAATCTTCGATATAATTCATTCCTGCTTCATTTATTTTTGTTACATTATACTGAGTAATTGAACAGATAATTCACAAACATTTATAAACAAATAATTAGTAGTAATTGCCTTTTGGTTCTAGGAAAAGTCCCAGTTGCAATTGAGAGAGAAGCAAGAGAAAGAAAGACAAGAGGAGGCTGAAAAATGGTTGAAAGAAAATTTCAGGAGAGATGGTGAAACTGGTAGGTGGTTAATATATCAGGAATTCAAATCCATTGAAGAAGCCACCAGTTTGTCTATCAAGTGGTGATAGACTGTTTCATCTGCTGTTTACTTATTCTGGTTGTGGGCATTTTTCTTATTTAACTAAAGCTTCTAAGTAGGAAGTTGTTTTTTTTTTCTCTGTTGTACTAAACCATATCTTCAATCTAGCTGTGAATACATATTTTTTTTAACACACATTTTTTGCATGGATTACAAAATTTTTAATTTTTTTTTAAAATTCCATTATCTGTAGCATCAAAGCTTATTAGCTTATTATTTAAATAAAATACTTTTTTTTCCTCACAGGTGAGTGGATTCGTAATTCAAATGGACCATCAAGTTCTTTGGATTATTTTGAAACTGATGCAAGTCTTTTGTTTATTTATATTATATATATCTGCCATATTGTTTTATTTATAGCAGAAGTTTTTTTCTTCTTTAATTTATAAGCTCTCAGTTATCATTCAATACCGTAGTTAAAATATTTTATCTATTTTGTATCAACTTTTTTGCCTTTAACAGGTGCTGAAAATATTTTAATATTGAATTATACAGCTTACATTGTAACTATTGGGTTCTATCAGTATATATTAAGTTTATTAGTTTCTGATACTAATACCTCGTGTAAACAATTCTTTTTTTTTTTTTTATAGGATTCATTTACCCTTGAGGCTGCTCTTGACTATCTCTCAACAAACATTGACCATGCTCTCATTAAAAACTTGGATATTTCGCCTGACATTATTCCAAGTTACTTGAGTGATCAGTTGACTGACAACTGTCTAATCGGTACTCCAGAAAGTCAGGGTTTTCAACAATCACAACAGCTTCTGTCCCACCAAGACAGTCTTGAGGAAAGCTTAAATGGTCTTCTGGATTTTCTAAGCAATGAGCCTGTTGAGGATAACTCTGCTTCATTGGATCAGTTTGGCATAGACTTGAACACTGGTAATCTAACATCAGACATGAAGTTAGACCAAGATTTGGATGCACAGACTGATTACCTTATTCAGAATGTTACTATGCAATCTCAAGGTTAGATTTTACTTTTTAAAAACATTGGCCCAATACAAAGTTTAAGTCTGAGATGTTGTTTTTTTTACATGAATTAGATTATATTAGTGTACTAATGTTTACTTTTGAAACTATCTAATCTAGTAGAAATTCAGCCTGTGGCCAATGAGATGAATGCAACATTTCCTTTCCTGTCAACAAACAGTAGTAACCAAATGAATTTTGACTTGGACAGCCTCAGTTTCCTTAACAGTTTGGCTACAATGCAGAATGGTGGACTGGATGACGGTGAACTGTTTGAAAATATTCCAGTAGACTCAAATGAAACCTTACTGAATGCTAATATACCTTTAAATGAAAGTAAGAAATGAATTGATATCTAAATAATTAGTGCACATTAGATCATGATCTCTTTAGAGCATCTAGATTTTAACACTACTTAACTGGGTTTTAAACTAGAGTTCCTTGGTTCAGATGTGAAATGCTGCCACACACCCTCGTGATTTAAAAAAAAAAAAAATAGTCAATGAATGGGGATCTTAGCTTATGCAGAAGTTCTATGTAGCATTAGTAAATCCCAGCTTAATGAAATTAATTATGTAATTTCACAAGTATAGTTATATTGTAAATGATTAAATTAGTGACTTTAGAAGTTGGCGTATTTAGTTTGTATTGAATCTAACTCTAGGCTAATGTCCACAAACACACAAAATATTTGTCTTATAAAGTTATGTGCCAGTAATATATTAATTTTTTATATTTTTATTTCTGGAAGGTATGGATACTTTTACAGTTCTACATGATAATTTTAGTCAGTCACTTGGAGCAATGGCAAGCCCTTCATCTTATGATGTAAGAGTCATTGTAATGCTTGAGTTACTTTGTAATTATTTCTGTATGTTCCTACATAGTGTCTCTTTAAATATATATTTATATATATAATTTTTTTTTAAAATCTAAATTTCAATCTTCTTAGGGACTGTGTGATTCTTTAGATGGTCTTGAAGGAGCCATAGGAGGCTCAGACCTTAGTGCGAGTAGCCAAAACAATATTACAAGACCCTACTCTAAAGTCAACAGACTTTCTGAATCTTCCAATGATTCTGGCTATCCCTTCCAGAGTGGATTTTCATCATCATCACCTGCATCATCCAGCGCTAGCAGTCCTGCAGGTTGCAACTATAGCAACATTTCTACTTCTGGCAACGACACTGAACAGGATCCCCAAAACACTCAGACAGTGGCTCGCCATGCTGTAGCTCATAACCACACTTACAATACTCCACCTGGACAAGTGCCTAGAGAGGTGAGTCATGATGCAAAGACATGTATGCCGTTAACTCCACAAGTAGAGCATTGGCAAAATGTAATATTTTCTATTTCTGGCAGCAGACTCTTTATTTTTTTAAACAGAATATTTAAAATAAACTACCGGTACCATCTTTCACATCCACATTATCAACTGCCTACAAATTTCACAAATCCAACTTACACATTCAAACAAACTTATAATTTTGTTGTACTCTATAACAATGCATATTGTAACATATTCATTGCCTCACTAGGCAAGAAATGTTTTAATATTTAAGTATTTTATTCTAAGCTTGCATTTTCTGACATTGTGCTTATTAAATCTAAAATATCTGGAAAAGGGTATAATGTAAAAATTTTAGTGTAATGTTAAAACGTGAGCATCTCATTTATGTTGCATTGTAAAATAAAAATTTTGGATAACTCTAAATGATAATTATATTTTATTTTACTGTTTCTTTTATTTGTTGTGCATTTAACAATTGTAATGGGTTACATACATGTTAATTATTTTTTAATATTTTTTTTTAGGTAAAAAAATATGCTCCAAAAGAGCCTTCTAGAAAAGGACCTCATAGCCGTGACCAAAGACGCTTGGAGGAATTCAAAATACCATATACAATCGATGACATAATTGAATCCCCAGTAGAGACATTTAATGAAATCTTAAAAAGTCACAAGCTTAGTGAGGCACAGGTAATAAATCATGTCTATACTTTTTTTTTTTTTGGTAACTTTTATAGTGGTTTTAGTAATTAATGGAGAGGGCTTTCTATTCTTTTATCTGCTTGTTCTTGTATATGTTTTTTAAAAAGTTTAACTTATACACACCTTTTTTTCCCATAGTTATCTCTTATCAGAGATATTCGACGCAGAGGAAAAAATAAAATAGCTGCTCAGAACTGCAGGAAACGAAAAGTAAATGTCATTGTAAATTTGTCTGATGAGATGGTGGACTTAGAGAAAGCCAGAGACAAACTACTCAAAGAGAGAGCAGAGATTGAGAAAGAAACTCTCAAGATGAAAGAAAAGTTTGGGCACTTGTATACCCATATATTCCAGTCACTGAGAGACGAACATGGACAACCTTATGACCCCAACCTCTACTCCCTGCAGCAGACCAGTGACGGAGATGTGTTGTTAGTCCCACAGAGCATGAATAGAAACAAGTACAGCAACTCGTCTTCAGCTTCATCATCTCCAACATCTTCTAAAGATTCTGTCAATTCAAAGAAACGCAAATCCTTTGATGAGTAAATCCATGCATCACAATCCATTCTGTGGCCCCTTGATTACACTTTTAGTTTTCATAAATTTATGATTGTGTTGCATAATAAAGAAAATAAAAAAAAAAAAGGCTTTTCAGTAGTGTAATGACAATTACATATTTTTATTTGTAAGTTTAACACAAATTGTAGACTTTGATCACACTTTATTTTTCAGTTTTTTAAAACAGATATTGTGTCCTTGAATTATTTTATTTAACTGTCCTGCCACAACACTTGATTTCTTAAGTTGATTTAATCTTAAACCTTTTTTATTTTGGAAACATTCATCCGTAGACGTAAATGAATACTTGATGTATTTATAGTGATGTTGGTATGTGTGTAGTTTTCTTCTTTAGAAGAGCATTTATACCAGGCAGCATGGCAGCCTCTTTTTTTTTAAATCATCCATTTTAAACCATTGTTTTATTACATAGCTATTGAATTGTGTGTTTTTTTTTTAGTACCAGTACTAATCATGGTTAAGCACATGAAAGATTAATTTTTTTTTTTCCATCAGAATGTTGTTTGTTCTCTTCATGCTTACCATGTTTTATTCAAATGTTTTTAATATTCATTAAAAGTTATAAGGTGTTTGATATATTCATGTTGTTTTTTTTTTTGTTATGTTTTTTAAACTAAATTTGCCTTACATTGTGTATTATCTCTCCAGAAAATGTTAAGCAATAACTGTACATTTTAACAAATAAGAACTTAAAGAAAAAAAAAAAGTTATTCTGTAATATTTAGCTAATGTAGCAAAAGAAGAGAGATGATATAGGATTGTAGTAGAAATGTTGACATTTTATAAATACTTACCAGCATCAGAGAATGTTAATTTAGTTTATTTTGACAAAATATTCTTCAATCATTTGGTCTCCTCTGTGTTAGGTAGCCTATTGTCTGTGTGAAGACTAAATATAAATTGTAAATATATAAATATATGTAAATGTGATGATCATTATATTCATGCTGTCTGTTATTAGTAGGTTTTTTTTCGTTACGTTCAAAGACTTTTTTTTAAGCTGAATTTTTTCTATAACTGACAGGAGAGATGGGGAAAAAATGTTTTCGCTAACATTTAAATTAAATTTTCTATTGAATTTTGTCCCCAGCCCTTGGAAAGACAACTCCATGGAGGGGTGGCTGATCTGGTAACAATTGTGCATTTCAAGACTGGTTATCTGAGGACTTTAATATTGATAATGAAAATCAAGTCCTTAGTGTAATTTATTTGTATTTATTTATGCTTAAATTTTTTATGCCCACATTATTCATTGTGATTTATACACTTTTCATTCCAGAACTATTACCACAGAAACTTGTTTGTTGATACAGTGGGTGACTTTGATTTATAAGTGCACATTTGGCCACGTAAAGAAAAAAAATACATTTAGTGATAATAGGTGTTGAATGTATTTCCACTATGGTCTGGACAGGGCTTTGTTTTTCCTTGACTGTGTAAATGTTTCTTATTCTGACAATATGTTTTCACATCATATAATATTACATAAAATTTATTTATATACTATTTGGCTTTTTTTGTTTTAATATCATTGTAATGGTATGCCTATTGGAAACATTGTACATAAATAAATAAAATTGTTGATTAACGGGATGGCTGAGTGATTTTGGTTATATATGATCATGTTGCCATTGTGAATTATAATGTTTCAATAATCTCATGTCATTATTTAAACTGTTTTATGAAACATTATGTAAAACTTTTTTTTCCTCATGTTTTTGAGTTGTTTTAATCAGCATATCATAAAATATGATCCAAAAAAAAGAATTAAATAGAACAACTTAACATATAAACCACAAAATTTGTTTATTAACGTTTCTGTCTTTGGTATCTTTTGTTTGTTGATCTGGATATGCTGACTATAGCAAAGGTAAATGTAATAACATTGTCTCATCCCATAAAATTAGTACAGAAGTTAAAAAAAAAAAAAGTTCTCCTTTCAGACCTTGCTGTCTATAAAGCAGATGATGTTATGGTCATATGTTTCTTTGTCCAACAGTTAATGAGCAGGTGTCATTTGGTCAGCACAACCACCAACCGCCTTTACTTTCCCCAACATTAGTCAGGTACACATTAGAGTTAGGTGAACTCAGGGGTGCCCCAAAAATCCTGAAATTCGAAATTCCAGTCTTCACCAAGATTCGAACCAGGACCTCAGGTTCAGAAGCCAATGCTTAACCACTCTGCCTCACTCCACCCCATAAAATAAACAACAGAAAAATCTTTTTTGTCTCTGCAAAGAAATGCAATTAATGAAGATAAAAAATATAACTATTTGTAAGAGGAGAAACTTAGGCTCCATTTTTTGTAGCATCACATCCTTTTAAATGGCTATCACAAATGATAAAATACACAAGTATATCACTTAATCTGTAAAAGTTAGGTACCGGTATATTATGACTCTATACTTAAGAAGCATATAAAGCAAGACATCACAATTATAAATTTTTCACCAAAGGGGCAGCCGATCATTTAATCCTCCTGTTTAATCTCAAATCTCTTATTAATTCATTGGCAATACAGGGCAGTAGCAAATAATACTGTTTAAAAAAAACATAACTTATCTAGGGAAATAACCTCAAAATCACTGCCATATATCTCAATACTGCAGGAATAAGCTCTTGTTTTTAAATAAAACAGAACTATGTACAACTAATTGATTATTTTTTTTTCTTGATTCATGTATTGTCATTTAGTCATTGACTATGCAAATTATGCATAATTTCAACTTGATCTGAGAATGGGAGGTGCTGGAGTTTGATAAAAGATAATATATTCCTTCATAGAATTATAATTAGTTATAATGCTGTTACTCTTGCTAAAACAATTGGATCTTTTGCCAGGATGGTTGTGTGGAAATTGATGTTGACTGTCATAATGGTTCTATAAGTTCAAATGTATTGCCACCCCCTTACTCTACACTGATTGCTGTTACTGGTACCTGCCAAGTCTCTAAATAAAAAAAGAGCCTATCACTCCAGAAAAAGCTTTGAACAGCTGCTTAATTAACTGGATCACATGTTTGGATGATGAACTGCAAATAATTAGATATTGACATACTAATGAACTAGGTAAATGAGAATAGTGTACTTTTTATTTCACTGTTACCATCAATATGCTGGCTCTATCTAAGTTAATTGTACTCAAGAATCATTTTTAAACATTTCTGACTCTGGCTACACAGTTTTTTTCGAATCAGTATATCACTCTTTATTTAAAAACAAAATCTAAGTCTATATCCACAACTAAGACCAGCTTTTTACTAATGAGATGTATGGCTTCCTTCTTTTCCTGTCTCTACCTGGGTCAAAATAGCATAGATTGTTTTTTAAGGGAGAATATAATAATATATAGATATCGAACAAATATTCCATAAGGAACGCAAAAGAAAGATGATGATACCACCAAAGCAAATGCCAACTTTAACTGTTGTTACATATTTCTTCAGAGTTAAAGCTAATCTACTTCCTAATTGAAACCTCTGGCAGGGTATAAACCCGGCACCATCAAGAGGACCGAACGACAGTTCAACACGCATACCGCACGGTCAGGAATGTGGACTGAAATTTCTCTATAAATGTTCCACGAAATGAATCTTAAGCCACACAAATACATGACTTTTGTCCCTTATGCTAAGAAAATAAGCAAGTTGTTTTCAGTATACTTCCTCCCACACCGTTCGACGCATTGGGTGACAAGTTGTCTCTGGCAATGTCTGAAGCCTCTTTCACCTGGTGTCCACTGCTCTAGGTCCTCCATGAAAGTGTTTTGCCAAGTTTTACGAGGACGTCCCTGTTTGCGCTTTCCTCGGTATTCATTCTGTCAGAGGATATGTCCAACAAACTTCATGCGGCTCTCGATCACAACCTCATTAAGTGGTCGAATCCCAGTCCGGCAAAGGATTTCTTTGTTTGAGACCCATTCTTTGTAACTGACTCCAAAAATCCTTCTTAGCCACTTTTGTTGAGCTACATTTAGTCTTTTCTCCACTTTTTTGGCAGATGATTTCCATGTCTCCCATGCATTCGTTGCTGTTGGGATGACAATTGTGTTAGGTGTATTTTTTTTTATCTCAAGTCCAATAGCTTGGATTGTACTAATAGAACAATTAAAAAACCAGTGCTTATCACAGGTGGTTAGTAGTTATTCCAATCATTTTTTTTAAATGACAAAATACAGGTGTATCTGGGAGAACTTTTCAATGCTCCCTTTTCAAAAGACTATAAAAAAAAAAAGCTGCTTGAAGTCTCGAGCCTCAATGATGGATGGCTAATGCTTTAACCACTGAGCTGAACTATTTTTGTTGCCTACTTAAAATCAGACAGACAGATGGAGTGAGTTAATATAAGCTTTGTAAACAAAATCTGGTAGAAATTGTTGGCAGTTTTAATAATGCTGTAATAGTTATATAAAAGCTAAAAGTAAAACTTTATCAAATCGTCATAACAATAGTCACAGGTAGCATATACAACTAAAGAAGCTTTTATTCTTTAATTTTTTTATTGACAGTTTGTCAGCAAGTAAAAAGTATATTAACATATTCATGGCAACTTATTTACAATGTATGTTGATCTGAACAGAAATTTTAATTCAGATCTATGCCATTCATTCAAAGCTAATGATGAATAAGATTGGCATGAGCACTAGTTTCATATCAACCATTAGGAACTTCAGAACTAACTATTCAGAATATTTTATTATGATTTCAATATTTAAAATAAAAAAAAGAAGTACTGAAACATACACTATTAGAATAGTTAATTATGATCTAAAAAAAACAACAACCTTCTATGTCTTCAAATATACTGAAATGTAAAAGTAAAATTAGTTCAGAGGGAGTCTTTCTTTCCCCCAAAAAATCTCTAAAACAGCTGAATATTTACAAACAATATTACTATTTACACTAATTTTCAGTTGATTAATTCATTATAAAGTAAATGACTAAAAAAAAAAGTTTGGAGATTTAACTAAATTTCTCAGCTGACATAGATAGTGGTGTCTTATGTTTGTAAGCAATTTAGTTTTTACTAACATCAGCAAAAAACTGAGTCACTTAAATCGGAATGATAATGGTGAAGCTCAAACAACTGAATAAACTGTGTACAAAATATATTGACATCAATAATTGTAGCGAAACTTTTCATGCAGCACCGCTCCTAAGATCCATAAAATTGTTATGAACGTACAGTATAGGCCTCCTGCTGCTGTCCCTTTGGCATATGATCCATATTGTGATGCTTTGAGGTATTGACATTTAGCATAATAAATCTTGGATTGCTCTAGAACAAAAAAAATAAAAAAACAAGGAAAAATTTAAAATGACTTTGGTATAGTCCTATGAGCATACACATCTGGGGACTCAAAAAATAATAACATTTTAAAACCATTAAAAGAAAAATTAATGAAAAACTATGAAAATTTAACGAATGAATCATTTGATACAAATCTAAGTTAATGTGTTAAAATCATGTCCCAATGGGAATGATGCATGCCTAACTTTTTTTTTCTAGTCAAATTTTTTTATGAAAAAAAAAACAAAAAACAATTTATGCTAAGTTAAACAACAAAATTGTTTTCACTGGCAATAAAAAACATTTTTAAATATATGGTTTTGGTTCCTTATTTTGTTTGGAGGTCTTCCAATATACAATTAGTTGACATACCATTCGCATTTTTGTGTTTCCACACACTCAAAGTGTAACAAACACTCAATAAATATTTTTTTCCTACCAAAATCACACAAAACAACAGAGTTAGAACAGGAGTAAATTTTTTTATATTATAGTATTTTTTTTATTGCAAGTTGATCATTGAAAACATTGGAGGATTAGAAAGCTCTTGAGTTCCATTCTGCACAATATGTATTCCTCAATACATACAATGGTCTAGAATCACAATTTTTTAAAAATGAGATGCAAAAAGAGATCAGCATACTTATCAAGTTATACTCAATCAGATGAAGAGGGAAAGAAACAAGCAAAATATAAAAAAAAACTTAAAAAAAAAAAAAGGTTATCCAAAGGGGGAAGAACTCCACCCTTAAAACTGTCTATAAATAATGTACAAGTTATTTCCCTTATTAAATATCAAAATAATTAATTAATTGACTAATTGAGTATTTTTGTTTATTTATTTTGTTAGGTACAATAAATAATTATTTAAAGTATCAACTTGACCTGAGAATATGTGAGGGAGAAATAGCATTATCAAATTAATTAAGGGGACTAAACCCAACAAATTTAGCCATATCTATGAATACATAAATACTAGTTTCCCTTTTGGAAATTAAACAAAATAATTAATTACCAGTAATTAATTGTCTAATTGGTTACCATTTTTTTTTATTGATTCATGACTTGTCTTGATCTGAGAATGAGTGTGTTAGAAATAACGGGTACACACTTTTTTTTACCAGACAGAGTGAGTTGATATAAGCTTTGTACAAAATTGTAATAATTAAACATTTTACAAACCAGCCAATAGTATTGCAAAGATTCCAAATATTGGGTTGACAAACAGGGACATAAAAGCAATGGGCCAATTATCATTAGGTCTTCTCCATGGGTCTGGCTGTTTGGCTACAATGGGCAGCACATAGGACATTGCAGACATTGTATATGTGGAGTACAAGCTATATCTGCTTCCATACAGCAGAGATCTGCAAAGAAAATAGCATTAATTAGAACAAAGGAAAGGACTTTACTGATGATAGTTGAAGTTTATTGAAGCAAAAGCCACAACTATTTAAAAAAAAAAAAATAACCTTGATCCGGTTAAGCTCTGACCACCAGCAATGCTGGATTTGGAAGCATAACGACGCATGCCTCCCTCACTGAGGTTGGAGACGCTGCCTGTGTTAGAGTCTCCATAGTAGTACGCTGGATAGCCTGGGGTAGACATGATGTCCGCTTTGTGAAAGAAAAAAAAAAAAGGTATGAAATGAAGCAAAAAATATAAAGAGCCAACTATACAGTATAAAACTTATTTTGGGTATTCACTAGCATTAAATTTGCTGTTGATGTTTTTTTTTTTTTGGGGGGGGGGGGGGTGGGGGTGGAGTGGTAGAGGGCGTTCAAGTTCATTTATGTTTTCTTGAGTATAAAGATCCTATGCATATTATCGTATGGGTCTAGCTAAGGTTAAATACATTTAGTTTATTTAGGTTATTAAAGTTCCATGAACTTCTTTTTACTAAACCTTTATTTAAAATATTATTTCTCAATTTATTAGGGTTATAACAACATCATTATCTTTAGGTTTCTTAATTATTTATTTTTTTAATCAGAGCCACAGGTTTCGTTAGAAGTAGTTTTTCAAAATTTATTTTAGATTTTATTACGATTTCTATAGCTCCCAGATTTCTAGATCTATCTATTCTAATATATAATCTTATGTAATTAATTTAATATAAAACATTATTTTATTTTTGTGTTATTTTTATTTTGCTCTATAGAATAAATTTATAATTAGTGCAAACAGCAATAAATTTA